TTGAATTTTTATTACTCATTCTTCAGTTAAGATTGCCTGATTTTGTTTGGACTGAGTTTATAGGTTTTGTTTTAGGTGTGTATTTGGTCTGATTTCATGGTAGTATTAGATTTTTRGCTTGTATTGCTTTAAGCAAAACTTTTGCAGATCCTGGTTTCATGCTTAAATATCCAGCTGTAAGTGAGGAATAATTAGGCCTATGATCAAAAGTACTGTGAGGAAAGAATTAAAGAGTTATTTGGTTTTGCTAATACTTCGAGGCTCTAAGAGACAGTTAAAGACAGTATTTTTTGTTAAAGATGGATGTCCACATACAGTTTGCTTTCAGGCAAATACCTTTTTTTTTTTTTTTATCTGATAAAGGTTATCAAATTTCAAGGAGGATCAAGCTAAAAGCAATTCCACTTGTTTTGTTCTAAACCAGTAAATTAGTTAAATAGTATGAGAGAAACTGGGCAGGTAGAGCATATGAGCATATGGTACAGAAACAGTTATCTCTGCCAGTTTAATGAGAAAGGAAAGCAATAAAATGGGAAGAGAGAGCTTGCAGTGTACCATGAAGAGCCTGTCTCTGCCGAGCTCAGGATTGTTGGTGTGTACTAGATTAATGAATTCCCATGCCCATCCTGTGTRTGTGTTTCGTGCCTGCAGAGGGAATGCAGTGACAAGTGCTGGTACAGGACAAGCAATGAGAATACCATGCAGATAGGGAGAGAGCTGGGACTGCACTGGTGGTGGTACTGCTGCCTTGCAGTGCTCTGTCTACTGCAGCTTGAGCTAGAGGAATTCAGCCGGGGTGTGTGCATCTCAACATGAGAGAAAGAAAATGTGCTTAAAAGATTGAAACTTGTCWTTTAATCTGCTAATTTTACCCAAATAAATCTATGTCCCACCAGCTTTGATGCCAGTCTTACTTTTTTGAAATAAATTAATACCTCTGTAAAGAAATACCTTTTATTGAGGAATGTGTTCTTTATTGGGTCRTACTGAAGTATCACCCTGGAAAATAAACAAAAGGCTTTGCACATGAATTGGTGAGGACAAAAGCTTGCAGCTACCCCMGTGAATTCAAGGATGGATTGTTTTATTTCAATTACTGAGAACGCTTGCAAGACAATAGCATCTTCTCTTTGTGAATTAGCATAGTTCAGGTGCCTGTATTTAACCTGGGATATCAAATCATTTGACACATCAAAGTAGTAAAATTGGAAGTAGTTATGATCTAAGCAAAGATTATACTTTCACATGATGACTGATTTCTAGCAACACATAAACTTGCAAAACACAAGCCACCTGTATTCATCACTGATCATAAAAAACAACAACAGAAAARCAGAAATAAAACCAGAATCAAAGTGTCAGGAAAAATATGCATTTTAAAAAGACATCAGTTTTGATTAGAAATGATAATTTTTTTCCTTTAGAGAGGGATTAAGATTCAAAAGAAAAGCTGAAAAAAATGCTATATGAAATTCCCAAGACTATGTGAAAAGCTACATTTGAGTGTGACTTCCAGATCTGTTCTGAACTCTTTATTATCTGAAGATGTGCATGTAGTTTATATCACTTTTTGGTGCACCCAGTGAGTCTCCTCATGGCCTATATTATCTATGTCTTTGTGGGAATGAATTTCCTGACTTATCATAGATTTCTGTCTTTATGGGATTTCACTGATTTAGTTTGTAATGTCCAAATTACAAACTTAATTTCAGATGTAAYACAATCTATACAAAATGCTAAATATACTAAGATTTGTGAATGTAATAGAATGGACAAGAATGAATACTAGAATAAATATTAGAGCAAAAGAACAATTTTATTTTATTTCATGTATTCATCTTTGAGTGTTTTGGAAAAGTAATTTTGCGGGTATTTCTTGAAGTAGCATTTCTGCTGGTGGAAACACTACCTTCTGGGATTTTTTTTCAGTATTAGTTGAAGAGATTGATTAGGAATGTGGTGTTTGTTTTAATGAAAGCCAGCAAACATGTTGGATAAGACATTTGGTACAAACAAATGTATATGGCTAGGCTATCATCTCTGCTTTTGCTGCTTTATGTTACTCAGGTAGTCATTAATCCTTACTCTTTCAGACTTTCCAGTTGCTTACTTGTTGTAATCAGTTCAACATAATTGAAAGGGTGGGAAGCTATCATGCATGGGCTGTAAATTATTCCTCTTTGTACTTATCACCTTAAGGCACAGATTTCAGTTCAYTGAGAAAGCAAAGCTGTTTTAAAAAAACAGTATTCAAATTAAGCATTTTGCTTGGAAACTTGGGCAAGATAGAGAGAAATTTCTGATTTCTTTCCAGACAGAATTTTTTCTCTATGTTGCAGGTTTTTTTCTAGCAGGGTTATGCTCTTAATGAGTTTGAACAGGTGAAATTCATTGTTGATGGACCTGGTTCATCACAAACTGTGGTGTAAATTCCGTTGAATTTACAAACTTTGGCAAGTTTGTCTTTTTTGAGTCTCTTGAAAAAATGAGGTAGGTGTTTCACAGAAAAACAAAGCATGGTTTTATCAGTGCTGGCACTTAGACATTTTGTTGATTTGGTATTCCTAAACCCCAGCCTTCTTTCTTCTATATGTATATACTCTGCAGTAATAGGAAATTTGACAACTGAAAATCCTTAAAAGAAGACTGTACTCATTGGAAAAACAAAATAAAACCAGTATCAGTCTAAGAATTAGAGGAATTCRGAGTTAGGTTAAATGAGTTACATAGACAGTAAAATTACCTAAAATCTAGGAGCGCATTGTACTCATTTACACTCAGAAAGGTACCTGTTAGGAGTTTGTGAAGTTCTTGAAAGTATTTGTAGAAAGTTTTAGCAGATCCAGAATATTTTGATGCATTGCATGTTCACTAAAGCTAGTAGATGCTGCAGGCTCTCACAGGTAACGATCAGATACCTAAGTCAGCACACAAAGGATAACTTCTAAGGAGCACCTTGAAAACGGAAAAGCTGTAATTAGAGAAACTGCCTTGGCATAAAAGATTCACCAGGATGACCTACTTAAAAGGATCATCATGTACCTAAAGTCAGGCTACAGTTTGCAGTCATAAATATTACATCATGGCTTTTTTAAGGCTGCATTTCTCTTCCAGTAAATGCTTCAGTTCCCATTAATAGTTGAATAGGGCCATCACATCTGTTTTCTTTGAGAAACATTCGAAGTGTATGAAATTAATCTAGAGGTAGATACTAAAAATAAAKACATTTTTCTACTATAGGCGATTTTTTATTATTAAAAATCTAGGGAAATATCTTTCAGCTTCTAAAGTCACGTCAGACAGTCAGTCTGCTGTGATTTTAGGCTTCGTTTTCCTATATCAGAAGTACACCACAACCTRGTTTATCTAATGCAGTCTGTAATTTTTCCTACCTCTCAAAACARCATCAGTCCTAAAACTCTGTTTCGAGCATACCTCTGGAGACRGTGTATGCAATCGAATGAGTAAAGGACATCTACTCAAATTCCCTGGTCTTCTCTCTTGGAGCTCTGAGGGCAGTTCACACTGCTTTAGAAAGGGTAATAGGATTAGCTTCAGAAATTTCCATCCATTTTTACTCCTGCATCATATCKCACTGCCTCTTTAGTTGTGTTGCTGCAGTTTTTCTGAGGTAATGCTGGAAAATAGATCATTAAAATGATCATGGTTAAAAATAACCTTTTCCCCAAGCTAGAAGCAGGCAGTGTTTTCTTAGAAGCACTGCTACAGAAATTTTAGCCTGCTTTCTCCCAGAGGGGAGGCTTCTGCAATCTGTTGCAGTGTCCAGATCACACATGCACAGACACACACACACAGACTCCCTTAACTTTAWACACATGAGTAATGGTGCAGATTTGTAATTGATTTTAGCTGGTCTAACAATGGACTATTGCCAAAGAATGGTCCTGCWTTTCTTCCTTCTGTGTGCTTTGCATGCTGGTGCCATTTCTTGCTCCTGCCCCCAGTGATAGTGCAGATGTGTAGTGAGCAAATTGCCTTGCAGATATGCCTGAAAACTGCATGGAGAAGAAGGTAATGGTTAGTCTTAGCCAAATAAGCAAACTCTCTTGACCCATTGTGTCTGCATTCGTGATTTTGATATTGCAGAAGATGGAAATACACAGCAGGGAAGCAGGGTGGAGGGCTGGAACAAAACATCTTGGTGCTTTCACGCTGCTTGATTAGCAGGAACTCGTGCTGGACTAACCCACTCTGAGATGCATTAGCTGGTGATACACAGCTGCTCTACTCTATTCCTACTGTCAGTATGGGATTGGGAAGAAAGGAATGTGTCTGTCCATGACTTACGTGTTGGGAATCTCCAAACTGTGAAAGGAACACCACTTCCACCCACACAGATCCCTGCACTGAATTTTTTAGGGTGGGATTTCGTATTGCTAAGACTCAGTGTGAATGCATTGTGAATGCATTGGCCAAAATCACTCACCTTTGAGACACAGATTGGAGGAATATTAACTTCCTACAGGATTTGTGTTAAGTAGAGAGATATCTTATGGTAACTCATTGAGATAAAAGCTAGCATTTGTAGCCCTTTCTTACAAAGCAGGGAGTTCAAATGGGGAAGAACACTGCAGACAGAGTCAATATGATGTATGGTGCATGGAATTGTTTGGTTTCTTTCAGAATAAAACCTGGTATCCAAGTCTAGAGAGTAAAAGATTGAATTCTGAAAATCAGGAGAGTTATTAAATTTATCTTCAGCATATTTTCCTTGTAAACTGTGATATTTGYATCTCTGAAGAAATTACAAGTTTTTGTATCCAAAGCCCTGTATTCTGGCGTCCAGTGCTTAGAGAAAAATTGGGATGGTTCTGTATCAGTGTGAAGAAGCATCTCAAAAGTAGTGAAGTATAAACTTCTTTTCTCTTGTATTTTGCAGGTTGAATATTACAGTTTCACTCCTACCTGGGCTTTTTCCACTGATATCCAATACACAGTAAACATTCCAAATAGTATTTGGCAGGTGCGTCTGCAGCTTAACAGCAATCCTTCTTTGATACAGGATGGAGGACACATACAAAGATAGGACTTCACTAGTGAAAGGGGCCAAAGACATTGCTAAAGAGGTGAAGAGGCAAGCAGTGAAAAAAGTGAACAAAGCTGTCGACAAAGCCCAGGATGGCTACACACAGAGGTCCTACAATCGATTCCAGGATGAGGAAGATGATGATGATTACTATGGCTCAGCAGGAAATTATGGTGCAGAAGCTAATGATGATGAAGGATCAAGTGAAGCAACTGAAGGACATGATGAAGATGATGAAATTTATGAAGGGGAGTATCAGGGAATCCCCAACATGGGGCAGGGTAAGGAAGACATGGCCTTAGGTCAGTCTATGCGTGATGAATACAAGGATCGTCATGAACTGGAAACAGAGAGAAAAGCTGATGAAGAAGAGCTAGCACAGCAATATGAATTGATAATACAAGAGTGTGGCCATGGTCGTTTCCAGTGGGCCCTCTTCTTTGTGTTGGGAATGGCCCTAATGGCTGATGGAGTTGAAGTTTTTGTGGTTGGATTTGTGTTGCCCAGCGCTGAAACAGATATGTGTATACCCAATTCTGGATCAGGGTGGCTTGGTAAGTAAAACCTTCATTCTATCTTTTTGCTATTAGAAGAGTTGCTTATAGTAAGCCTAAATATGTATTTGTCAACACAGAAGCTTATATAAAAATATTTGTATGGAATAAATAAGAAGTCCAAAAATTGTATTAATATTAACATTAATTGAGATTAATTAATTAATAATCTTAATTAAAATTGTAATTTTATTTTTTATTATTTTCTTATTCAGTCAGTAAATCAATTGCTGAAGAGAAAAACTGCACAGTAAAATTTAAGAGGAGAGGGACAAATTTTGTTTTAATGTGCAAGAGTAGATGTCCAGATGAACTAATCAGAAAAAAAAAAAAAAAAAAAGCAAAAGTACAAGACCAGCCCACAGATGGAGAACTGGATTCCTGCTGAAATTATACAGGTGTAATAAAGAGCAGATGATACAATTGTCTGGCAACATTTTCACACTGCATTTGAACCTTCCCAGTGGTGAGGTGAAACTCATTCTGCAAAATGCAAAAAATTCCAGTGAAAATGCTGTATAGTATGTATATCCTTTCCCTCYTTTTGTCCTTGGTCCTTTTATACCAATGACCATTCTCTGACAAAGAGAACAACATTTACTTAGGGTCGGGTAGGCAAAAGAAYGAACAAGAGCCTTGAGTGTGCTTTTTGTGTCCGTTCTGTTGTTGGGGATGGGCTGTGTGTCATCCCCTTGCCCGTTCCCTCCTGTGGTGTGGGTAACAGGCAGGCTGAGCCAGCCTTGTGTGGCTTGTGAGAGCAGCAGCGCTGCAGGCAGCTCTGTGCTTCTGTTCCCTGGGCACAGCAGGTAAAACAAGGCTAGCATGGTGCAGGGCTGTGTGGAAAAGGTGTAGAAATGATTCCCCAAGGAAGAGGGGAGGTAGGAGCTTGGACAATCAGGACAGAGCAGGAAATGGAATGTGTTTGTATAAATAAGTAACTTGGGCCTGTAGACTAGTACAGAAAGGGAAGATTTCTTCTAAGATATTTATTTAGAAGCCTTTGTTTTCTAGCAGAAGTGTTGCTTGTACCCTGTATCTTTGCAGCACATGGTTCTGTTGCAACAGACCTCATTTTAGCTTTGCTCATTTTCCTGACATATTGGTACCAGCTCTGTGGGTTTGGCTCGGTGGGTTTCCAGTGGACTGTATGGTCTCCCTCTGTTAAGCTTCCCTCCAGGTGGCAGGACCATGAGTGGAAGCAGGAGAGAAGTTCTTCAATGACTGGATCTTTTGAGTCATTCTTTGCCATTTGATTGTTTGTYGTTAGAACCATTCTGCTTATATCTACAGTGCACTGATTAAACTTACAATGGAGAGAAATAAATTATTGAAACGTTTATGGTTAAAGAGGCTGAAYGCAAATAATCTGTTTTGTGCTGTTTGTTTATGCAAAATGCCAACATCGTATGTGTCATGCTGGGACGTGTGAGCTTTCAGGCCTAGTTCTTAAAGAGAAATGAGAAACAAAACCAATGCAAAACTGTATCACTAGTAAATATCAAGGTGTCAGTGCACAATAACATACCATGCACCTTAGAAAAGCAGTGAATGCCCAGCTTGATTTTTTTAACATGATTTTGTTATCCAGTCCTTGGCAGTTGAGGACATCTTTGAAATCTACCCCTTAATTTTTATGCTGATGGAACAAAAAWTATTTATTTCAACCCCATTTTTTAATTACTAATAAACATGTTTGTTTTCTGCATGCACCCTTCTCCACAAATGGAAGAGTCATAGCTGTTTTTGTTCTCCAGGACTATAAAATGTAAGGGTAACACCAGATCTCTCTCCAATTAGTTTATATTGCAGTGTATTTTCTACAAAGAGTATTCTATTTAAAAAAACTGCATTGAGCATTATGGAGGTGTCTGGAATTGGGAACGGGGAGTTTTGTCCCCAACAATGATTAGAGCCACAAGGATTCACATCCATCTCTTGGGGTCTAATCCATACCAAGGAAGCTGAGGATTTCCCTGTCACTGGAGTTCTTATGACGCTGTTTTGAGATATACTGGAATGACTCCATAAACATTAGACTAAAATTCAGTACAGAAGGTGTCAAATACCTCATAGTTACAAGTAAGAGTATGTGTATATGTGTATGTATGTGTATAAATTATACATGATGACAAAATTAAGGTTAACAGTTCTGGAAAGCTCRGCTGGGCAAGTAATGTATTCTCACGCCTAAAATATAGAAATTGGGATGTATMTTCTTTTTGTAATAATATAATGCTAGCCTCTGTGTTGTGGTATTAACAAATAATTACGTGCTAAAAAATTAACATACAAAAGTGGGAAGGAACAGAGATAAGCAATTTCTTTCCCAGTGTGTATTGAAGGCATTGCAACATGTGATGGTTTTATCAATAGTTTCAAAAAAAAAAAAAAAAAAAGAAATCTTTCTCATTGTTACTGGAAATATATCAGAAGCTGCAAGTCATCAGTACACCACTGTGCATATTGCTTATAGACAGAACAGACATACTTCTTGCAGACAGCATAACCTTAATTCCAGTGATACAAAATACACATTGTGAATGCTTAGTGAAAACATTTTTATATTGTCATAACTGGGCTCTCACAGCCATGCATTTCAATTATTTTGTGTTTGTGATTTCCCTTCATAATTATGTCCTMACTGGGGTCTTCCAGACAGGCATAATATTTTTTTTTATGATTAAAATTCCATAATCCAGCAAGTCCTATTGTTGTTAGGATATTGAGGTCATAAGACTAATGCTAAGGGTTGAAATATAAAATTAGTAGACATACACAATATTTATATTTCAAGCAATTTTCTAAACTGTTAAGATACACACCAAGAACATGCTAATTTGTCTTTGAAAAAGCATTCATTGATTTGTTTGTAAAAACTGAGTTCTCATGCCATGACCGTTTACTAGGGAACATGAGCTAATTAAAMACATGTGACTATGTTCATTGCTCCCTGTTGCATTTTTTATTTTTTCTCAATTTACTTTCACAAGGACAATTTCCTAAAATTCTGTTCAATTTCTCAATTTCCTAAAATTCTGCCATATTGACCCTTGCATGAGCTTGAGATCACTGTTGATTAATCATCAGTTGCATTTCAGAGCCCATGAAATCACACAGTGAGTGTGCTGATGTCATGAATTAGTTTTAAATAGTCTTTTTAATGAAATAATAAACAATCTTTTTTTCCTCTCAAGTATGAGGTTTTATTTTTAAAAGGGAATCTGACTAACTTAAATTCCCCAAAGTTATGGTGACATGTCATTAAGCATGAGAGAAAGGTGTCCCTGCTGTGTATATAACTTGGCTGTATTTGCCAACTCTTGCATGTGAGTGGATTCACTCTGACCTTTTGGGTTCTGGCACAGATATGGCAAGACTGTACCTTCATGAAACAGGCTTAAAATATTGTTTTAACTCTTTTCCTTCTTGCACCTTATCTTTTTGATTTTTTCAGGCAGAAACAGGGCTCTAATTTGGATATACTTTTCTACCTAACTTTTTCTCTGTCCTTGCATTCAGATTGGTCTTTTCATTCAGATTGTTCTTAGTTTTATTGTTTTTTCTTGTTCTGTAGAATTTATATTATGACCTTTTCTTTCCTCAGCATCTCTGTATCTGAAATACTGAAATGTTGTTTTTCCTAAGCTAGGCAAAGCCAGCCTTTCCCAGCTCTGTCTGTTCAGGGCACTGTGCCACTTCTGACCATCCTGTCAGTGGTTATGCCGTGAAACTTGAAGTGTTCATCCTTGTGTAGTACCCTKGGCAGCTGCACTGCTGTCACCATTCCATTGTTAGCAGCACCTATAGGCTGCCTCCTGCTTTCTGGTCCATGAGGCCACTCCTCACAGTATCAGTTGGCACAATTTTCAGAGAGATACCTCCCCCTTTTTTATTATGTATTTTACCATGGAATGATAGAATAATTTGAGTTGGAAGGGACCTTCTACAAGTCATGTAGTCTAATGTCCCTGCAATGAACATGGATATTTTCAACTAGATCAGGTTGCTCAGAGGCCTATCCACCTCAATACTAGAAAAAATCATCTGAACAGCTCAGGATTTTCAATATTCAGTGATTTTCCTTCAAGCATTTTTTTTCTTTGCATCTGTACCAACAAAAGCTGACAACTGATTAGCCACTCTTATTCACTGGTTGTCATCCTTTAGAGAGGCCAATTGCTCCTCAATGATTTCTAATAGTCTCCTTGATCTGTTTTGAATCCCTGTGTGATCCTCTGTGTGAAGTTTAGCTGAATAATCTCTTGAGGGTGAACAATCTTCTACTCCATTATGTCTTACATTGTGTTAACCATTGTGTGTTAGTCAAGACTTTGTTACAGGTTCATAGACTGTACAGTAATAAACCTACAAATAATTTTAATATGTAAAAGACATCCTTAGMTGATGAGTCAGTCATACAGATGGTTTCTTGCATCTAAAAAACCACAAGTATTGTGGTAAATCACTGGACTGATAAGGCAGGTATTGCGAATATGAAYAGCAATAAATAGCTTACCTTGGAAGTTAAATTACTTTCTGAAACCCCACATTTAGTGTCAAAAAAYATCTTTATGTAAGGTTTTTTTGTTACTCTCTGAATTTAATAATTAGATTTTGTGTAATATTTTTAGAAAGAAAAAGGTCATAGACATAACTACGTCTTTTGGGCAGAAGTAGTTCCGTCTGGGAAAACAGCCTACCAATTCTGCATTGATTACCAATTTGCATGTTAGCTGTTTTAACACAGTGCCTCCCACGTCTACTTGGTTTTAAAACCTACCAAACATAACCAGTATAATTCTAATCCACACAGTCCTTTCTCTTTACATGAGAAGAAGTGCTYTCCAGGGGTTTGGTAGTTGATGCAATGCACTTATAAGCTCTGCTAGGAATACTGAACCATCACTGTATTTTTCCCCTTCTTAGTTTAAAGAAGTACTGKCTTCCCAGGTCCTTGCTACTTAATTTGATTCTGCTTCTTCAATGATAATTTTCAACGA